ATTGTCTTCATTGTTATTTGTTCCTATGTTATGTTTGTTGAAATTTACCTTGAAAAAACAATTTATCTAATTATGTATTAATCATTTAATTAAACTGAATACTTTTAAGTTAATTTAATTATTTGTTTATGGTTGAAAAATAATTCATTTAATTGTCAGGATACCTGCATGGTAATTTCTAGCCTTACCACAGTGTAATCTCCACATGTGTTCAATATTTTTTACTATTTAAAAAATGTGGCTACACTTTGGAAAGCAATATGGAGGTTCCTCGACAGACTCCACATAGAGATCCCCTACGACCCAGCAATTCCACTTTTGGGCATTTACCCAAATGATCACAAACAAGACCATACTAAAGCTATCAGCACAACTACGTTTATCACAGCATTATTTACCATGGCTAAGATGTGGATTCAACCCAGATGCCCCTCAGTAGATGAATGGATCAAGAAAATTTGGTATATGTATGCTATGGAATTCTATGCCTCCATAAGAATGAATGACATTGCCCCATTTGGTTGGAAATGGAAAGGCTTGGAAAAAATTATATGAAGTGAAGTAAGCGAGGCCCAAAGAAACATAGGTCCCATGGTTTCCCTTATTTGCAATAACTAGTATATGTCTAGGACAAGCAGAAAAGGTCAAAAGCTCCACACACATGACCAGATAGGTTGATGTTAAGTAAAATGAACCCCAACGTAGGGATACAAGTGTTTTTTTTTCTTTCTTGCTATTGTTTCTAAAGTATTTATAATGTACCATGTGAATTTTTTGTTTCTTTTTATGATCTTTCCCCACACTATAACCCCCAATTTTACTGTATTTGATGTCAGTGCCCTGCTTCTTGTATATACATTTCTCTAATTTGGGGAGGGGAGGGTGAAAAACAAAATGCTTAAATGGGAATAAAGGTTGACCCAATGTAAAAATGAGATGTACAACATACTATATTGAAAACAAACTTTACAAATTTGGCTGAGGGGGGTGGTGGGTAAGTTGTGAAGGTGGGAGGGAAGGGATGGTAGGGGAAAAACAAAGGAGGAGGTAACAATGCTTGATAGGCAATGTACTCATTAGCTTTCTCATGTAATTGTTAAGTCCTTTACACAGTAGTTTTACCAAAAAAAAAAAAAAACATACAAAAAAAGGTAATAAAATAAAGTGATTTAAACCACACAAAAATGTGGCTAGCTGGGTGCCGGTGGTTCACACCTTAATCCTAGCTATTCAGGAGGATGAGATCTGAGGATCTTGGTTCAAAGCCAGCCTGGGCAGAAAAGTCCATGAGATTCTTACCTCCAATAATCCACTAAGAAAACTGGAAGTGGTGTTGTGGCTCAAGAAGTAGAGCTCTTGCCTTGAGCTGCAGAACTGAGGGACAGTGCCCAGGCCCAGAATTAAAGCCCCCACATCTGAGCAAAAAAAATCTGGCTAATTTTGTCTTAGACCATGATCTCTCCTGGAGAAAACTCAGTATGTTGATGAGAGATGGTTTATTCAGATCTTTGTTGAAATGGTCTGAGAGGTATAACTTAGGTGAGTATGTGTGAGACCTTAGGTTCCATCCACAGCACTCCAAAAAAAAAGAAAGTATGAAAACTCATATATTGTTTTGTAGAATGGGAACTTCTATGTACAACTACTTAAAGATAATAAAATAAAAAGTCCAGTTTCATGCCTATTGTATCATTGATAAATGTTAAAGCTCTAAAATTGTAATGAAAATAAAGATTATTATCCTCTTTATTTCTCACTGTGTGTAATGCTTAGAGACTGTATCATTTACCATATCTCAGTGTTGTTTTTTTCACCACTTAGTTTATTTACTTGTAGATTTATAGGTACATTCTAGGTGTCACAATGAGGGAAACCATGGAACTTACATTTTTCTGGGCCTGGCTCACATTCCTTTCTTAAGTCACCCAGGGCTATTGATCATAAATTGAGTTTCTTGGAATTAATCTATTGATTGGCCTTGAGTTTTTATTTCAACCTTTCTAACCCTTTTTTATTGGTAGGATTCCCTGCATTTCCATTCCCATTCATTGTTGATAGATCACTTCTGATTCCTGCCATTATGTAACTTCTTTAGGTTTATTGAAGCTTCTTCCACACTTTCTCTCCTTTATTGAGTTCATTGGTAGTGACTTTTGATTTCTGGATTATAAGATTTCATTTATCTGTTACAGATTTTGTGCTACTTAGGAAGCTCAAAGAGGATTACAGCAGGATATTTTAGAATGATGGCAACTATCCCAGCTGATGAGGATGAAAGAAAAAGAGAAAATATACAAGAAGTAGAGGGAGATGATCAAATACATAAGTGGATATATAGTAATGTTTTAATGAAATCTTTCATTTAAATTTTAATAAAACTTTTTCATTTACTACTTTGAGGTAAAATATTAAACACATACAAATGATAATTTCAACTGCATTGTAGTCCTCCCATCATTTATAAGAATGGATATCCAATTTTACATTGTTCTATAGTAAATAGTAGGTACACCAATAGTTTTTCCAACTTCATAAGAATTATATGTATGATTTCTCTGGCATATTTACTATGTTAGAATATTTTCAGCTTACCTGTATAGTCACTTTTACCACTAATCTTGATAAAAGTTAAAAATTTTATTGTATTTAGTTTTTGCACCATTTTTTGAAGAGACAATTTTCTTTCAATATTTTAGCTCCTTTATCAAATATTAAATGGCTATAGATCTGTGGGTTTAATTCTGGGTCTTCTAGTCTGTTCCATTGGTCGTCTGACCTGTTTTGTGCTGCCACTAAGCTGTTTTCATTACCATGGTTCTATAATTGAGTTTGAAGTTTGGCATTGTTATTCCTTCTACAATGTTCCACTTGCTAAGGCTTGCTCTTGCTATTCAGGGCCTTTTGTCATTTGAATTTTAGGGTTGCTTTTTCCATCTCTTTAAACAAATTTGTTGGAATTTAGTGGATATTGTATTGAATTTGTAATTTGCTTTGGGCAGTATTTTCATTTTCACAAGATTAAATCTTCCAATTCAGGAAGTCAGATTATCTTTCCATCCTCTTACCACTTCTTCAATTTTGTTTTTGAAAATTTTAAACTTTGCACTATAGAGGTCTTTCACCTCTTTGGTTAACTCCTATGTATTTTGTATTTTTTAATGCTATTTCAGATGGAGTTTCTTTTCTGATTTCAGCCTTGATCTTCTTGATAAAGGCTTAAAAAAGGTATTGATTTTTGTGGGTTGATTTTATATCTGGCTATTTTGACAAAGTTTTGGATCAACTCCTTAGGCTGCAGAAGGAGATTTCGGGGTCCTTTAACTATAGGATCATGTCATCTGTAAAAAAGGATAGTTTTACTCCTTCCTTCCGTATTTGGATTCCCTGCATGGTTTTCTCTTGCCTATTTCACTTGCTAGGAATTCCAGTACTATGTTGAAGAAAAAAGAGAGTATATCCTTCTCTTATTCCTGATTTTAGGGAAATGTCTTTAGTTTTTCATCATTAAGCATAACACTGACTGTAGATTTCTCATACACACTCTTTCTTATACTGAGGAATGGTACATTGATCCTAGCTTCTCCAGAACTGTCATCATAATGAAGTGTTGAATCTTCTCAAAGACTTCTGCATCTAATGAGATAATCATGTAGCTGTTGTCCTTGCTTCTGTTGATCTGTTGTAACAGGTTAATTTACTTACATCTGCTTATGTAGCTTTGCATCCCTGAGATAAATCCCGTTCAGTCATCCTGTATTATCTGCTCTATCATTTTCTGAATTTTGTTGAGGAGTGTTGCAACCATGTTCATTTAGAGATAGGTTTAAAGTTCTCTTTACTTGATGTGTGCCTATGGCTTCATAGAACGAGTTTGGCAGTGTTCCTTCCCTTGCTATTTCCTTGAAGAGTTTGAGGAGTATTGGTGATAACTCTCCTTCAAAAGTCTTACACAATTTTGTTGTGAAGCCATCAGGTCTTGGGCTTTTCCTGAAAGGTCAGTTATTGCCAATTCAATCTCATTGCTGGTGCTGGGTCTGTTTATTCAGTTTATGTCTTCCTGATTCAGTTTGGGCATATATATAAAGAATATATCTATTTCTTCCTGATTATTATATATTTTTTGCCATAGAGGCTTATAATGTATTCCCTTAGAATATTCTGAATTCTACAGGTAGACCCATCGCAACAATGAGATGTACAGGACATTATGTTGAAAAAAGTGGGAGATGGGAAGGGATGGTAAGGGGAAACAATGTAGGATAAAAAATGTACTCATAATCTTGCTCATGTAATTATAATCCCTCTGTATGGTATTTTCACAATAAAAAAGAATATTCTGAATTTTGCTTGTATCTGTGGTGATTTTCCCTGTAATCTCTAATGCTATTTATTTGGGTGGCTTCTCTTTTTGATTTAATTAATTTGGATAGGGTCCTTTCAATGTTGTTAATTTTTTCAAATAATCAACTTTTGTATTTGCAGATTCTCTGCATTTTTTTGAAGACTACAATTTTTAAAATTCTGCTCTAATTATTTTCTTTTGTCTGCTGGTTTTGGGTTTATCTTGCTCTGGTTTGTCTAGAAGCTTGAGTTGACTCATTTAGGTATTCATTTCAGATTATTCTAATTTATTGATGCAAGCATGTATAGATATAAATTTTCCTCTGAGTACTGTCTTGGTGTTTCCCAAAAGATTTGATGTTTTGAGTCTTCATTTACTTTGAATCCTGAAAATCATTAAATTTCACCTCATCTCTTTGATGACCTACTGGTTCTCAGCAATAAATTATTCTGTTTCCATGAGTTTATGTATTTTCTGTGATGGTTTCTGTGGTTGAGCTCTACTTTTATTATGCTATGATCTGGCAAGTACAAGGTCTACATTTTTTTTTGTATATATATATATATACATATATATATATATATATATATCGGTGGTGGGACCATCAAAGTCATAACTTTTGAAATATTCATTCTAAATTTCTATGTTCATTATGCAGGCTTATTTTCAAGAACTATCAGCTTGTGTTGGCCTTGGCTTTTGCTACTGAGGATATCAACAAAAGCTCTGAACTTTTACATAACTTGACTCTGGGATTTGATATCTATGATGTTTACTTCGAAGCTTGGGCAGTATTTAAAAATTCGTTCATTTGGATCTTTGGGAAATATAAGATTCCAAACTACTTCTGTAGAAGAGACAGCAAGTCTATAGCAGTACTAACAGGACCATTAGGAATAACATCTGCCTGCATTGGGACATTGCTGGAACTCTACAGATTTCCACAGGTGAAGGTGAACTTAGTGGGGGAATATAAAAATGTCTCATTTAGTGCTATTCCAGGTGTTAGGAGAGAATGATAAGAGCCTGGTGTTATGAACCTATAAGATTTTGTGGTATCAAAGAGTAAGTATGCAAAGATAGGAAGATATGTACATTCCCACTGTTTGGAAAATGAGATGGAAGAATCACAGAAACAAATGGATTATTTATTGTTTCAAGTCTTATCAATAATTTAAAAAGTCAGAAAGTGCAAAATGACTTTGAAATGTGCAGATATACTGAGCAGGGTACTGGTAACTCACACTTGTAATCCCAGCTATTCTGCAATCTTTTATCTCCAATTAACCAGCAAAACCAGTAAATAAATGTGTGGCTCAAGTGGTAGAGCACCAACATTGAGGGCAAAAGCCAAGAAAGTGCATGAGGCTTGAGTTCCTGCCTTCTACTGACATGCATGTGCACACACACAGACACAAACACGTGCACGTGGATGAGGTATTATGTTGAATGAAATGTCAGATATAGAATGCTAAAGGGGAAATGTATTCCATCATATGCAAAAGCTAGAACTAAAATATTAACATGTCATATGAAATAAATATGAAACACGAATGTAGCCATTTATGTATATATTATAAATTGGAGTAAAGTATGGCATATATGGGGGTTGAGTTCCATGGAGTAACCCTTTCTGATCTACTGAATATAAAAATATGAACACTAGAAAGCTGAAGCATATCTTCTCTGAGGGGGTTAGTTGTTACAGGAAAAAGTTAATAGAACAGGGAATGATTGGGTGAAGGAAAACATAATATTAAATGTACATATGTGAAAATACAATTAGGAAAATCTGAAAATTGGTTGGGCTGATAGACATGGGAATAGTTAATGGAAATGATGACAAAGAATAAGAGACATACAAATAAATATTTTCTACAAATATTGTTTTTTTTCCTAAAAAACTAAAACAAAAATGTACCTTTCATCTACTTCAACTGGTTCTTAACATACTTAAAGATTAAGATTGTGATGGATTGCTATCTTCTCATTCACGGTGCATCCAATTTTCTTTCCCTTTAGCTTACCTTTGGGCCTTTTGATCATGCCCTGAGTGACCATAACAAGTTTCCTACTCTCTATCAGATGTCCCCAAAGGACACATCAATGGCCACAGCCATGGTCTCCTTACTGCTTCACTTCAGCTGGAACTGGGTGGGACTGTTGACTTCACAAGATGAGAATGGTGCATGGATTCTTGCTGAATTGAAAGAAGAGATGGCCAAAAACAGAGTTTGTGTAGCCTATGAGCTAATGATCTCACTCCAAGACACCTCATATATATTCAAACTCATGGCAGTTCATAATGAGATAAATCTATCTTCAGCAAGTGTCCTCATCATATATGGTGATAAAGATTCACTGATAGCTTTAATGATATTTATCGAGCAAATTTTTTTTTTAATTTAATTTTATTTTATTTGAGAACATACTGTACGGAGGGGTTACAATTACATGGGCAGGATAATGCATACATTTCTTACCAAGCATTGCAGCCTCCTCCTTTGTTTACCCTTCACCTCCCTTCCCAGCCTCCCCCCTCCCTCCCACCCAATCAAACCCCCCCTCCCCCCCCCCCCCCCCCGACATTGTAAAGCTGGTTTTGACATGACATTTTGTACTTCTCATTGTTGCAACAGGTCCACCTGAATCCTTAAACGACTTGTTTGTCCCCATCTCCTCCACATGTTATACTGACATCAAATATAGTGAAAGCGGGGGTTACACTGTGGGGGAGGGACATACAAAGCAACAAAGAAATAATATTATAAATGCGTTAGAAACACATGCATGAAAGAAACAAAAACATTAAAATACATACTTGAGGGTTCGTTTTCCTAACATCACATTATTTGACTTTCCGCTTGACTCATACCTACACTAGATATTGCAAATAAGGGAAACCATGGGACCTATGTTTCTTTGGGCCTGGCTTACTTCACTTAATATAATTTTTTCCAAGCCTTTCCATTTCCTAACAAATGGGGAAATGTCATTCATTCTGATGGAGGCATAGAATTCCATTGTGTATATATACCACATCTTCTTGATCCATTCATCTACTGAGGGGCATCTGGGTTGGTTCCATGTCTTAGCTATGGTAAATAATGCTGCAATAAACATAGTTGTGCTGGTAGCTTTAGTGTGGCCTTGTTTGTGATCATTTGGGTAAATGCCCAAAAGTGGGATTGCTGGGTCATTGGGGAGCTCTATGTGGAGTCTTTGAGGAACCTCCATACTGCTTTCCAAAGTGGTTGAACAAGTTTACATTCCCACCAACAATGAAGTAAGGTTCCTTTCTGTCCACATCCCCTCCAGCATCTGTTGTTGTTAGAGTTCTTGATTTTTGCTGTTCTAACTGGAGTGAGGTGATATCTCAATGTTGTTTTGATTTGCATTTCTTTTATGGCTAGGGATGTTGAACATTTCTTCATGTGTCTATTGGCCATCCTTCTTTCTTCTTCAGAGAAGCTTCTCTTTAAGTCTTTCGCCCACTTACTTATTGGGCAGTTGTTTCTTTGAGGATTTGTTGTTGGGTGGTTTAATTTTTTGAGTTCCAAGTATATTTTAGATATGAGACCCTTGTCCATTGTATGGCTAGTAAAGATCTTCTCCCAGTCCGTGGGCTTTCTATTGATCTTGCTAGCTATGTCATTTGCCCTGCAGAAGCTCTGCAACCTTATACAATCCCATTTGTCCAACCTTTCTTTGATTTGTTGTGTTTCCGGGTCTTTATTCAGAAAATTTCGGCCTGAGCCAAGGAGACCCAGGGTTTCTCCTATTCCATCCTGTAATGTTTTCAGAGTGTCTGCTTTGAGTTCAAGGTCTTTGATCCATTTGGAGTTGCTTCTGGTGCAGGGTGATATATAAAGATCTAGCTTTAGTTTTCTACATGTAGTTAACCAGTTTTGCCAGCACCATTTACTGAAGAGGCTGTCTGTCTTCCATTCTATTGTTTTAGCTCCCTTATCGAAGATTAGATGGCTATAGGTCTGTAGGTTCATTTCTGGGTTTTCAATTCTATTCCATTGGTCCTGAGGTCTGTTCTTACGCCAATACCAAGCTGTTTTGATTACTATGGCTTTATAGTAGAGTTTGAAATTTGGTACTGATATTCCTCCAGCAGTGTTCTTTCCGTTGAGGAGCGTTTTTGCTATTCGGGGTCTTTTATTGTTCCATATGAATTTTTGGATTGCCTCTTCTATTTCCTTGAAGAATGAGGGTGGAATTTTGATAGGTATTGCGTTGAATTTGTAGATAGCCTTGGGAAGTATTGCCATTTTCACGATGTTAATCTTTCCAATCCAGGAGCATGGGAGGTTTTGCCATTTTTTAAGTTCTGTGTTGATTTCCTTTTTCAAGCTTTTAAAGTTTTCATCATAGAGGTCCTTCACTTCTTTAGTTAAGTTAATTCCTAGGTATTTTATTTTTTGTGGGGCTATTACAAATGGAGTTGCTTTCCTAATTTCAGCCACACTTTTCTCATTGTTGGCATACAGAAAAGCCATTGATTTTGGGGGGTTAATTTTATAACCTGCTACTTTGCCAAAGTTTTGAATCAGCTTGAGTAATTTGGGAGTGGAGTCTATGGGATTCTTTAAATACAAGATCATGTCATCTGCAAAGAGGGAGAGTTTTATTTCTTCTTTCCCTATTTGGATCCCCTTTATGTCTGCATCTTGTCTTATTGCTGTAGCTAGGCATTCTAATACTAGATTGAAGAGAAGTGGAGAGAGTGGGCATCCTTGTCTTGTTCCTGAGTTAAGAGGAAATGGCTTTAGTTTTTCACCATTGAGTATAATGCTGGCTGTAGGTTTGTCATATACAGCCTTTATTGTATTGAGGAATGTTCCATGGATTCCTAATTTTTTCAAAACCTTCATCATAAAGGGGTGTTGGATCTTGTCGAATGCTTTTTCTGCGTCTATTGAGATAACCATGTGGTTCTTATTCTTGCTCCTGTTGATGTGATGAATAATATTAATTGATTTGCGTATATTGAACCAGCTTTGCATCCCTGAAATGAATCCTGTTTGATCGTGGTGTATGATTTTTTGGATGAATTGTTGAAGTCGGTTGGCCAAAATTTTGTTGAGAAGTTTTGCATCAATGTTCATCAAAGAAATGGGTCTATAGTTCTCTTTCTTTGATGAGTCCCTGCCTGGTTTTGGGATGAGGGTTATGATGGCTTCATAGAATGTGTTCGGTAGTGAGCTTTCTCTTTCAATTTCATTGAAGAGTTGGAGGAGAATTGGTGTGAGCTCTGCTTTGAAGGCCTTGTAAAATTCCGCTGTAAAACCATCTGGTCCTGGACTTTTCTTAGCTGGGAGGTCTCTTATTGCTGTTTCTATTTCAATGCTTGACGAGCAAATTTTTATACGTGGCAAAGTTTGTATTGTGAACTCTCAGTGGGATTTCACCATGAAGAGGAGATATTTCATGCTAGGCTCATTGCATGTACCTCTTATTTTTACACACCATCATGTGGAAGTATCTGGATTCACAGATTTTGTCAAGGCAGTTAAGCCTTCCAAATACCCAGAAGACATTTTTCTTGCGAGGCTGTGGTTTCTGTCTTTTAATTGCTCAGATTCTGAGTCTGACTGTGTAACATGGGACAATTGTCCTCATGATGCCTCTTTGGATTTGTTACCTGGGCATATTTTTGAAATGACTATGTCTGGAGACAGTTATAATATATACAATGCTGTGTATGCTGTGGCCCAGGCTCTGCATGAGATGTTTCTTCATCAAAGAGAAGTTCAAACAATGGGAAATAGAAAACAAAGAGTGCCTTCCCCAGAACAGGTAATTTCTTCTATGGAGGAGTACACATTATGAGTAAAAGCACTTTCTAGAGGGGATCCTTACTGTCTGAAATTAAATATTTCTGTATGCATGCTTGTTTCTGTACTTGTATATATATGATTTGTGTTTATATACACAAATGTACATATATGTTTGTATTCATATGTCATACTAATTTGGTTGTTGAAATTAATTACTATTTCGGTATTTAAAGCAATTTTCTCAACTGTTTAGCTTTTCTTTTCTATTATCAGAAATTAATATGAGCACAAAATTGAACAAATATAGAGTCACATTTAAAAATTAAACATTTCAGTTGCTTCTCAAAACCCTGTGTGATTCTTTATGTGTCAATGTAATTGAGGTAATCTAGACATGCATGGATATGCTGGTGAGAAAACAACAGGCCAGTAACAAGATAAAACATATTCCACATTTCCGTAAATTAGTTGTGGCCAGCGCAGGAACGTGAACACACTACCTGGGCTATGTCCCCGAGTCTCTATGTACTCAAGGCTAGTGCTCAAATACTTGAACACAGCATTTCTTCTGGCTTTTTCTGAATTGTTTATTGGAGAAATGGTTCTCACTAACTTTTCTGCACAGACTGGCTTCCAAGCCTGATCCTCTTATCTGAGCCATCAGCATAGCTCAATTTACAATCATCAGTCAACAGGAACTTTCTCATGAATTCCTTTAGCAACTAATAACTCGTCATGTTAATACCTAGTGCTTTGAAAACTGCAAATTGAGCTTCTCCCTATACTTTCCTTCAGTCAAAGCAAAGGATGACCTTATGAACAGAATTATCCGTATTTTTCATCAGTAACCAAGTTTTATTCTATTTTTGGTATTAAACATTTAGCAACCTGAAATTATAGACATTCATAAAATAATGGATGTGGCAAGATGGAGTAAAATGATTTCTCTGGAAAAAAGTCTTTCTACTCTTTTTCTGAGTGACCAGTAAAGATTATTTTTCAGAGTGATTATTTTATTCCTCCACAGATTTTTCTTCTGAGATAATGCATTCGGTGTCTCTACTCTTTTTCAATTCAGAATCAGAGATTAAAGGCAATCAGGAGTGTTTCTTACTTCAGGTTTTCTATCTTAACTCTGGGATTTACTTCACTACAAGATGATGTCTCTTTTAGCTGCACACTTTTCTGAAGAACATCCAGTTTTATAATCCTACTAGAGACCAATTGATTTGGGATGAGAAAAGAAAACTGGAGCCAGAGTATGACATTCTGAACATCTGGAATTTTCCAGAGGGCCTTGCACTTGAGGTGAAAGTAGGAAAGTTTTCTCCATATGCTCCACATGGCAACCAAATGTCTTTATCTGAAGATATGGTAGAGTGGGCCATTGGAACTACAGAGGTGAGTTGGATCTAATCCTAATAATTTTAAGGACACACGTATCATTAAGATTCACCCTTTAAATTTATACCTGTCTGAGTGACAGCAAATTTCTCCTATAATCCTAGCAGCTAATAGAGCTAAGATTGGAATATCATAGCTTAGAGTCAGCTCACACAGGAATCTCTGTGAGATTCTTATCTCCAATTAACCACCCCAAATCTGGAAGTAGAGCTGTGACTCAGGCAGTAGAATGCTATCTTGCTTTTTTTTTTCTTGAATGTCAATTTTTTAAATTGTTAAAATACCATACAGAGGAGTTACAATTACATGGATAAGATAATAATTACATTTCTTATCAAGAATTTTTTCCTACTCCTTTGTTTCCCCTTCCCATCCCTTCCCATCTCTCCCCCTTATCCCCAATATTCCCCATCCCCCGGCCAAAGTTGTTAAGTTTGTTTTTCGACATAACGTCTTGTACATCTTCTTGTTGCAATGGGTCCACCTGTATCCTTATTTAAATGATTTGTTATTTTCCTTTCCCTCCACAAATTATACCAATATCAAATACAGTGAGAGCAGGGGTTATATCGAGGGAGAGGGACATATAAAGCAACAAAGAAATCATCTTATAAATATGTTAGAAATGATCGCATAAAAGAAAAAATACTTGAGTCCTTATCGAGGTACACTTCACCTAACATCAACTTATCTGACCTTTTCTTCTTGTCTCAGACATATACTAGTTATTGCAAATAAGGGAAACTATGGGGCCTATGTTTCTTTGGGCCTGGTAGAATGCTATCTTTGAGGGAAAATAGCTAAAGTCCAGTTTTCAGGCCTTGAGTTCAAGCCCCAGAATCAGAACCAAAAGAGTTAAATGTGTTTCTACATGTTGATTTTGACTATTGTCATAGGATGTACATTTCATTTATGTAAGTAGGTATGTAACACTGTGATAAAGTACCTGAGAGGTAATTCTTATGGTTGAAAGCTCTTTTATGCTGCCTTCTGCGAAGGTTTATTTAATGGTTAAATGATTTGCTATTTACTCACCTTTGGTTAAGATGAATCATTGAAGGCATATGTGATGAAAATCTCATGTCATGGCCACTGGGAAACAAAGAGAAAGATAAGATGACCCTGGGGTTCACATAACCCTATAAAGTGGTTTACTCCTTGCTCTTCCCCATGTCACATATTAGTATGATACAAAATATAATGGCATGAATTCAAGGAAAATGCATAGGGCTATACAATTAAATTACTTTCTCACAACAACCTTCAGTCTTTTAAAGATTTCATACCTTTCAGTAATTCAACAGGCTAGATCAAGGTTGTAGCACATAGCCTTTGGAAATCATAGAATATGGAATATAAAACAGAATTCAATTAATTGACTGCAATTGCCTGCATAAATCATTATCCTCAAAATCACATTCCTTAAAACAATGGATTTTTGCAGTGTTCTGTATGAATCTGAACAGTCAATGGCACACCTCTGCCTTTCCTTAGAGTCCTCATTCTGTCTGCAGTGAGAGTTGTGGTCCTGGATTCAGAAAATCTCCTCAGGAGGAAAAACCTGCCTGTTGCTTTGATTGTACACCTTGTTCAGAAAATGAGATTGCTAATGGGACAGGTGAGTCTGTGACTTATGAAGAAATTCTTTGTATCTCCCTAGTTTTCCTCAATCCAAACAAGTCAATTCAAAAATTGTGTATTAGGATTACAGAGCTCATGCTCCTCTCCCTGTTAATAACTCAATTCTGATAAGTTGTGGTATTACTAATTGTAATATAATAGATCATGGCTTTGAATTATATATTTAGTTATAGTTTCAAGGCTATTGCAGGGAAAGTTATCTCCAGGAATCCTTCTTATAACTAATCATTAGGACAAGTCTCAACTCTAACAGGAAATTAAACCTAAGTCTTATTAAGGAGAGTGTTCATTTAAAAGTTATATTTTATGCATACAGGAATCATGGATCTCACATATGTTTATTTCTCAGTGCCCAAGAACTCTTCTTGGCATAGGACAAGGGCCCAGTAAGCTAGATTCAGTGTAAGAAGTGAGGATGACTATACAATGTCCAAGAAAGATCAATCTGTTCCTGCAACTTCAAAGATGAGCAGGCAAGTCAAATTTAGTGAGATGAAATCAAGGATAATGTATCTCAGGGTAAAATTAATGTTTTACAGAAACATGTGGAAACACGCTATTTAATTATAATTTAAATATAATTGAAGAACTCTTAATAAGAATGGGAAATAGTTTAGAAAAATTTAATAAGATACTATCGTAGCCCAACTGTTACATTATCAATACATGTGATAGTCATTGAGTGAAAATAATCTTAAATAAAAAAGACTGATGGAAGCATAAACACCACTCCATTTGTAAGGAAATGGAAAGACTTGGAAAAAATCATATTAAGTAAGCCAGATCCAAAGAAATATAGGCTCATGGTTTCCCTTATTTGCAATAATTAGTATATTTCTAGGATAATCTTAGCAGAATGAACAGAATAGCTCAATAGTTATGCTCAAGGGGATGCTAAGTTAAATGTTCTCCAAGATACAGGCAGAAGAGTTCTTCCTTTGTTGCTGTTTTTTTAAAATGTACAATGTGATTTCATGCATGTTTTGTATATTTCACCCCTGTTGGTATATCCCCTGTTTTAGTAACCTAGAAATGTTTATCTGAATTAGGGAAGAGAAGGGAAAAACAGAATGATGAGACAAAAGACAAAGTGGGAACCAATACAACAGTGAAATACACAAGACAGTATGTTGGAAATGATCTGTACAACTTGTGGAGGAACTCTTCAAGGAAGGAAAAGTAGGAGAAAAATGAGGGAAGGGGTAAAATGTTTGATGAGAAAAGTACTTATTACCTTATTTATGTAACTGTAACCCCTCTGTACATTACCTTGACAATAACAAAAGTATGAATAAAGGAGATAAAAACAGGAGGCGGTTATGGCCTAGGAAAAAATACAAAAAAGCTTTTATGATACTAAATGCTGACATCTCAGGATTTCATCTAAGTGAAAAATTTCCTAAAATCTTTGAACAAAATGAGATTCATAGAAAGAATTAATGGCAATGGACATGTCTCACCAGATATGGAGCAATGTGTGAAGTGTCCAGATCATCAGTATGCCAACACAGAGCGGACTCATTGCTTCTTGATAGCTGCAAGTTTCCTGGCATTTGAAGATCCCTTGGGCATAGCTCTGGCTTGTATGGCTCTTTGCTTCTCCATGCTAACTGCTGCTGTTCTTGGGGTGTTTGTGAAACAACAAGACACTGCCATTGTCAAGGCCAATAACCGGGCTCTCAGCTACATCTTGCTCATCTCCCTCATCTTCTGTTTCCTCTGTTCCTTGCTGTTTCTTGGCCGTCCCAATGCAGTCACATGCATCCTGCAGCAGATCACATTTGGAATTGTGTTCAGTGTGGCTGTTTCTACAGTGTTGGCCAAAACAGTGACTGTGGTTCTGGCCTTCAAGGCCACTTCCCCAGGGAGAAGGATGAGGTGGCTCCTGGTATCAGGGGCTCCTAACTTCATCATCCCCATCTGCACCCTCATCCAGGTGACCCTCTGTGGACTCTGGCTGGGAACCTCTCCTCCCTTTGTGGACACAGATGCACACTCTGAACATGGCCATTTCATCATCCTGTGCAACAAGGGCTCCCTCACTGCTTTCTACTGTATCCTGGGATATCTCAGTTCCCTGGCCCTGGCCAGCTTCACTATGGCTTTTCTGGCCAGGAACTTACCTGATGCCTTCAATGAAGCCAAGTTCCTGACCTTCAGCATGCTGGTGTTCTGCAGTGTGTGGCTCACCTTCTTGCCTGTCTATCACAGTGCGAAGGGGAAGGTCATGGTTGCCCTGGAGGTCTTTTCTATCTTGGCCTCCAGTGCTGGCCTACTGGGATGCATTTTTGCTCCAAAGTGTTACACCATCTTGTTAGTGCCGAATAGAATTCTCTGCATGGCTTCAGGGTGAAAGACAGTAGGAGAAATAAGCATTCTTAAGATTAAGCACATAGGTTTGATTATTATACACAAGGTCTGATCTAAATCTACAGTAATTATGCCTTTTGTCATAGGTTATATTATAGAATTTATACTTGAAAGACTAAGGATCTAGTGTGTATTATCCTAGCAGTGGTAGTCACAAGTGATGGTGATCACAATTTAAACTAGAGTTTTGCTTCTATGTTTTTGGTTGCTCCTATTTAATCTGCACTTATTCTATTATCTCCTCTTCTTAATATCTTTTTATTCCTGTCTTTCTCAATAGCTATTTTAAAAATTTCAGTTTATTAACTTCCTGTCTGCATACCACCATGTTATAGAGCCCTCAAATCTATTTCATTAATATTTTCTTCTTCACAAATTTACATCTTTTTTTTTTTTTTTGGGTCTGGTCGTGGGGCCTGAACTCTGGGCCTGGGCACTGTCCCTCAGCTCTTCAGCTCAAGGCTAGCACTCTACCACTTGAACCATAGCGCCACTTCCGGCTTTTTTCTTTTTGCTTATGTGGTGCTGAGGAATCAAACCCAGGGCCTCAGGCATGCAAGGCAAGTGCTCTACCATTGAGCCACTTTCCCAGCCCCCAAATTTACATCTTTTAATATTGTTCTTAGAGATTGTTTTATTCAATACTTGTATATTTCCACTCATATTCACCTTTTGTGATTATCCTGAGTCTCATTTATGGGACCTTTCTCTCTGTCCTGGTCTTTCTTTCTCTTTGTCTCACTCCATCTCCTTCTTTGTATTTCTCTTCTCTTTCACACTGCTTCCCTCATATAACTTTTGTATATGTTACAAAAATTAAACCTCTACTGAAGATTAAAATGTACAAGATTTGTTGCATTTTTCCTAATATTAAAGTCCATTATTCATAATAGTAAGCCCCTTCTTGCCTGGATATCATTTATATTTTATGGTTGACTCATCACTATGCATTAGTTTGACACAAAAATTTTGAATATTAATTATATAAGATTATTTCTTATAATATCATTTTTTACAATCTGTTCAAACATGAACATTTTTATTAGTCATATTTCAAAACTCTTAATTTGATAAGGAAACATCACTTATTGGTTCAAATAGGTTCAAATAGTCCATTCCGTAGAGTTTTTGCAAAATCACACATTAAGTGATATAGACACAATTGCACTCTTTTATTTTCTTCTTCTTCTTTTTTTTTTTTTATCAACCTGGTGTGCTCTATCCCAAGAGCCAACCCACAAGAACCTTTCAGGTTCCAGTACAAACTCATCAATAATTAACTCCCAGAAGTGTTTCTCTTTGGGATTAATATATGTCTTTTCATATTAAGCATTATCAAGTACCTCTTTTTCTTTAACCTCCTCTAACCATCATTATCTTCCTCTTCCTCATTTTTTACATGAAAGGTTTCTTATACCTAGAAATTGACTCCTATAAGGTTGCCATCCTTCCTCTCTCCTTTACCTGCCTGTCAGCTCACTCAGTGTTCCTGAAGCACAATGCTCAACAGGACACTTTTCTGGAATGGGTTCTTGAAATTCAGCGAGAATTCAGTGTCCATTGTGACCTGGCCCAATAATACATTTTCATGTTCATTTTTTTTTATTGTGAACATACTGTACATGGGCAAGATAATGAGTACATTTCTTATCAAGCATTGCAGCCTCCTCCTTTGTTTACCCTTCACATCCCTTCCCAGCCTCCCCCCTCCCAGTCCTCCCCCCCCCCCCACCAAAGTTGTAAAGTTCGTTTTCAACATGACAACTTGTACTTCTCATTGTTGCAACGGGTCCACCTGTATCCTTAAAGGATTTGTTTTCCCCTTCTCCTCCACAAATTATACCGACATCAAATATAGTGAAAGCAGGGGTTATACTGTGGGGGAGGGACATACAAAGAAACAAAGAGATAATCTTATAAATGCGTTAGAAACAAATGCATGAAAGAAAAAAAACATTTACATACATATATAAGGGTTCATTTCCCTAACATCACATTATCTGACCTTTTCTGCTTGACTCATACATATACTAGATATTGCAAATAAGGGAAACCTATGTTTCTTTGGGCTTGGCTTACTTCATTTGATATAATTTTTTCCAAGCCTTTCCATTTCCTAACAAATGGGGCAATGTCATTCTTTCTGATAGAGGCATAGAATTCCATTGTGTATATATACCACATTTTCTTGATCCATTCATCTTCTGAGGGGCATCTGGGTTGGTTCCATATCTTAGCTATGGTAAATAATCCTGCAATAAACATAGTTGTGCTGGTAGCTTTAGTGTGGTCTTGTTTGTAAACATTTGGGTAAATGCCCTAAAGTGGGATTGCTGGGTCATAGGGGAGTTCTATGTGAAGTCTTTTGAGGAACCTCCATACACAATTGCACTCTTTTCTTGTCTCTACTAGTGTTCATTACATGTTTTTTCTCATATTAATTCAATCATTTAGGCATATGTTTACTCAGGGCCTATACTGTCCTTTAACTTTTTCACCCAATCCTTCTTTACCACCTAAATCACACTTCATTTCTAGCTCTTTGTCTCTTATTGGAAATCAGAGTCTCATACATTTTCTTGCCCAGTTTGACTTCAAACCAATTCTCACGTTTACATTTCTAATAAATAAATGTCTATATAATGTACTATGACTTTGTATAATTTAAAGTTTTAGTTTACAATATAACAATATTTGGCAAAAATATTGTGTATGTTTTTTTGTTGAGGGCAAATGATTAACAAATGAAAATGCAATTAATTTTCAGCTTCCTCAGTATGGTAATCAAAATATCAAAATATTCATCAGTTTCTACTGATTTTTTTTTTTTTTTACTATATCCCTTATTCATTTAAGGCATTTCATTAATAGAACTGAGTTTGTATTATTGAGTAAAATACTGAATCCTCATTGTATGATGTGACATTGTTGGGAGAATATGTGGTTTCAGTGAATTTGCATAGTATTTTGTAGTCCTTGCTAATATTTTTAGGGTTTCCATTTTCTTACACAACATTTTTCTCTTAAATAAGGAAATGAGGGGGGTTCTGGGAGGATGGCGGAGGAGAAGCTGGATGCTAAACAAGCTCTGACATAGAAAGCAGTTTTAGTGCTCCAGTGAAGAGTCCTAGGCCAGAGAATTACACCAAGTGTGCCATCACAGTACAGAGAGTTTGGCCAGAGAAGGAAAATCCAGGCAAAGAGAAAGATCTGAGCACTTGCTTGTAGCTGCAGCTGCGGTGGCAGTGGCGGTGGCGGCAGTTGAGTAGCCACCATACCTACAGCTCAGAGATCAGGGACAAAGGTGCCAGACACAGCAGGCAAGCAGATTCTACTCAACACCAGCAAGAATTGCCAAGAAGCAGATATCTTCATCCTGAAGATTGTAGACCAGAGACAACCCAGGAACCAAGACTCCAGCATGAGTAGAATCCTGACATCCTCACTCCTTCTCAAGGAGCAAAGGATGGAATACCACCCCTCCCCCCTACTACTGGCGATCTACCTCTTTGATACTGACAAAGGCCTGGCTGAGCAGCTAGCTCCAACTCAGGCCTTGGAAGAAAATGAAAGAGTCATTAAGCAGGTCATAGGAACTGGACCTGACCTGCCAGGCTCATCTCCACCCAGGGAAAAGTCACCCAGCCCAGGCAAAGAAGGCTCTGCTCCCCTCCCCCAGAAGTGTCTTTCTTCACTGGGTAAACAGAGTCTGAGGCTGCCCCTCTCTACAGCAGCCTAGAGAATCAATTGAAATTCAGTAAACATAAACCCTGAGAATGGCTCCAGGTTGGGCTCTGTGAGTGTCTCAGAAGCTAGCTCTCCAGGGAAAAGCTACAGTTTGCTGAAAAGCCTCAACTTTACCCAGAACCTAGTCTCATCACAGCATCTCGAAACTAGTGGGAACAGCCATCTTGTCTTTTGTGATACTCAAAGCAGATCTCCCTCCCAATGAACTAGCCTGGGAGGAAGATCACACAATCCTGGGTAATGCAGAGTATTTTTCTGCTTGTTCAAACAAACTGACTTAAGAAACCAATCAAACCACATGAAACCAAACACCACAAGCAGATCACAGACTCCACCAAGAGACTTGTTACAGACACAAGGGAGATACAGGATCTTCCCATCCACCCCCCCCCCCCAAAAAAAAAAAATCAAAGAATTCTTTTTTAGTACCTTTTTTAAAATTTGTAATTTTTAAAAAATAATTGTTTTCTATTAATCTTTTTTTCCCTCTCATAATTATTATTTTAGGTGAATAGTGTGTGTGTGTGTGCTTTTTAAAAAATCTCTACTGACCTTTGGTCCTTTTCCTTTCTTTCTCATTCTTTTCAATTTTTCTTCTCTTTTGTTCATTTTTGCATGACTTAATTACTGTTCTGCTCATCTCCAGACATACCTGTCATCTATTATTAGACCTTACCCCCATTGTGTACACACTTAATCCATAAATTTATTACTCAATTCACAACCTCTTAGACTTAAATTCCTTAATAGCAGTCTTATCTCTTTATACCTATATAATTTTTAAAGAATTTTTATTTTTCAGTTTTTCATGTCTCCTTGCTAACCCTCCCCTCCTCTCATCCTATTCCTGTTCTTCTCCCCATTTCACCTTTAATTTAGAAAAATTTTGTTTTACTTGTTAAATTTAAATTTTTGTTTTTCCATTGTTTCTTGTCTCTTTTCTTTTCTCTCTCTCCTACCATTCTGTATAATCCATTTCCCTCATTGAGATTAGGACTTGATTAATTTCACTCTCCTTTTACATTTCCACATCCCTCTAATCGTATTTTACCCACATCTCTCCCCAAACCTAAAAATTTCTGGTTTGCCAAATTCTTCTTTGCTGTTCTTAGCCCATTAATACGTAGTTGTTTGATGTTGAATAGATTGTATCTGTTGAACTAGATTGTATATGCAGCATTTTACTGTGAAACTACAGGACTTCGGCTGATATTTGCCTTAAAATAGTGTTCTAGCACAAAATTGGTGTTACTTTCATAACAAATGGGCAGAACAAGCCAGAAAACACAAGAAATATGGCAAGTCCGGGTATCTCAACTCCTACTCATGATAATCAGGGGACAGAACAGATAATGAATAACCCAGAGGAGAGTTTCCAAAAAGCTCTACAAACACTACTGGTAAACATGGTGAATGAAAAGATTAAAAAACCTGCAAAGGACTCAGTGTGAGTGAGATAGGGAGAGAGAGGAGGAAAACCAAAGGTCAATACAAGAATCTCATGAGTGTAAGGAAGCTACACAGAAATTGATACAGGAATTGCATGAGCAGGCTGACAACAGACAAAGAGAACTACAGGAATTGCATGAACGTGAAGAAGCTAATCAAAGAGTAATACAGGAATTGCGAGAGCAGGAGGAGAATAGACAAAGATCAATAGAAGCATTCACGGAATCCATAGAGACAGGTGAAAGAATTCAGGAAGACCACAAAGGGAATGCTGGATGGAGCCCAAAAGAAGGAATGGGAGTCAAAAACCATAACCAATCAACTAAGTGTTTTGAGAATAAACACTGAACACCAAATTAAGGACGTCAAGAAGTTCATACAAGATCTAAAACAAAGTTCCAACAAAGAATTTGAAGTCATCAAAGACAACCAATTAGAAGGAAAAATAAAAAACAAAGTAGAAAGACTTGACAATAGGTTAGACCATGCAGACCAAATCTTGGGTATTGAAGACAGCCTAGATATTATAGAGAAAAAAACATACAACTATCCAAGACAAATCCCTCTATTCAACATTTGGAAGACACCATGAGAAGGTCTAATCTGAGGATAATTGGTGTCAAGGAGCACCTCGAGACAGAAGATAGTGGCCTCAGAAGTTTATTAACAGGATCCTAGTAGAGAACTTCCCAAACATGCAAAAAGATAGGCCTATTCAGATACAAGAAGCTTTTAGAACTCCAAATAGACCAGACCAAAACAGGACATCCCACCTTCACATTATAATCTGCACAGGAACAATTCAGACCAAGGAAAAGATCCTTAAAGCTGCCAAGGAGAAAAGATCTATCACCTATAAAGGAAAAACAATTAGAATCACCTCAGATTTTTCAGCAGAGAAAATTAAAGCAAGGAGAATCTGGAATGATGTATGCCATCCCCCCCCCCAAAAAAAAAAAAAAACCAAAAAAAAAAACCCAACAACTATCAAACAAGAATACTGTACCCAGCTAAACTCTCCTTCATAACTGAAGGCCAAATAAAAACCTTCCATAGGAAAGAAAAACTGAAACAATATATCTCCACCAAATCAGCCCTACAAAAGATACTTAAAGATGTCCTACACATAGAAAACCAAGAGGACCACAATAAAGGCCAAGAAACTGCTTCCAAACTGAGAATTTAAGAACCATAGAAAGAACCCAGTTGCCACAGCCCCCAAGAAGGTGCATAAAATGGCAGGAACTCCCAAATACCGCTCAGTCCTATCTATCAACATTAATGGACTTAACTCTCCAATTAAGCAACATAGACTGTCTAGTTGGATTAAAAAGCAAGATCCTTCTATTTGCTGCTTTTAGGAGTCACATCTTTCCCATACAAACAAACACATTTTCAATGAGAAAGGCTGGAACAAAATCTACAAAGCGAATGACACCCATAAAGAAGCAGGAATTGCAATCCTAATATTAGATAAAATAGACTTCAAATTAATATTAATGAGAAGAGATAAAGAAGGTTGCTACACATTAATTAAGGGATCTCTCCTTCAGGAGGATATTACAATTCCAAAGAACTATTTGCCAAACAAAGAAGCACCCAAATTTATCCAAGAAACACTACTTTCCTTCAAATCCCACATAGATCCAAAGACATTAATAGTTGGGGACTTTAACACACCACTTTCCCCACTAGATAGATCAGCTCAGCAAAAACTCAACAGAGAAACCGCAGACCTAAACACCTGCATAGATCAACTAGATTGAACAGACATCTACCGAATATTTCACCCAGCAGCATCAGAATACATATTTTTCTCAGCAGCACATGGAACATTTTCCAAAATAGACCACATTTTAGGACAAAAAGCAAACTTGTCTAAATTCAGAAACATACAAGTTATACCTTGCATTCTCTCAGACCACAAGTGAATAAAATTAGAAATCAACACCAAATGCCACCAAAGAAAGTCCTGTAACAAATGGAAGCTGAACAACACACTGCTGAATCATGAGTGGGTCAAGGAAGAGATTAGAAAGGAAATTCAAATATTCATGATATTCAACAAAAATGAACACACAAATTACCAGCTCCTCTGGGACACAGCAAAGGCAGTGCTCAGAGGCAAGTTTATAGCTGTGAGTTCCTACATCAACAAATTGGAGAGATCTGAAACCAACAATTTAATGAGACATCTGAGCCTCCTTGAAAAAGAGCAGCCAGATAAACCCCAGTCCAGTAGAGGGAAAGAAATAATTAAAAATAAATCACAATTCAACGAATTAGAATCCAAAAAAAAACATAGAATCAACAAAACAGAGTTGGTTCTTCGAAAAAATTTACAAAATTGACAGACCCTTAGCTAATCTTATCAGAAAAAGAACAGAACACACCCAAATTAACAAATTCAGGGATGAGAATGGAAACATCATCAGAGACACCACAAGATTCAGAAGAGTATAAGGGAATAGTTCTAAAAACTTTATGCTAATAAGTCAGAAATTGGCAGAAATGGACCTTTTCCTAGCAAATATCGATGTGCTGGAACTAAAACAAGATGAGTTAAACCATCTTAACAGGCCCATATCAAGCATTGAAACAGAAACAGCAATAAGAGACCTCCCAGCTAAGAAAAGTCCAGGACCAGATGGTTTTTACAGCGGAATTCTACAAGGCCTTCAAAGCAGAGCTCACAGCAATACTCCTCCAACTCTTCAATGAAATTGAAAGAGAAAGCTCACTACCGAACACATTCTATGAAGCCATCATAACCCTCATCCCCAAACCAGGCAGGGACTCATCAAAGAAAGAGAACTATAGACCCATTTCCTTGATGAACATTGATGCAAAACTTCTCAACAAAATTTTGGCCAATCGACTTCAACAATTCATCCAAAAAATCATACACCACGATCAAACAGGATTCATTTCAGGGATGCAAAGCTGGTTCAATATATGCAAATCAATTAATATTATTCATCACATCAACAGGAGCAAGAATAAGAACTACATGGTTATCTCAATAGAAGCAGAAAAAGCATTCGACAAGATCCAACACCCCTTTATGATGAAGGTTTTGGAAAAATTAGGAATCCATGGAACATTCCTCAATACAATAAAGGCTGTATATGACAAACCTACAGCGAGCATTATACTCAATGGTGAAAAACTAAAGTCATTTCCTCTTAACTCAGGAACAAGACAAGGATGCCCACTCTCTCCACTTCTCTTCAATCTAGTATTAGAATGCCTAGCTACAGCAATAAGACAAGATGCAGACATAAAGGGGATCCAAATAGGGAAAGAAGAAATAAAACTCTCCCTCTTTGCAGATGACATGATCTTGTATTTAAAGAATCCCATAGACTCCACTCCCAAATTACTCAAGCTGATTCAAAACTTTGGCAAAGTAGCAGGTTATAAAATTAACCCCCCAAAATCAATGGCTTTTCTGTATGCCAACAATGAGAAAAGCGTGGCTGAAATTAGGAAAGCAACTCCATTTGTAATAGCCCCACAAAAAATAAAATACCTAGGAATTAACTTAACTAAAGCAGTGAAGGACCTCTATGATGAAAACTTTAAAATCTTGAAAAAGGAAATCAACACAGTACTTAAAAAAATGGCAAAACCTCCCATGCTCCTGGATTGGAAAGATTAACATTGTGAAAATGGCAATACTTCCCAAGGCTATCTACAAATTCAACGCAATACCTATCAAAATTCCAACCTCATTCTTCAAGCAAATAGAAGAGGCAATCCAAAAATTCATATGGAACAATAAAAGACCCCGAATAGCAAAAACGCTCCTCAACAGAAAGAACACTGCTGGAGGAATATCAATACCAAATTTCAAACTCTACTATAAAGCCATAGTAATCAAAACAGCTTGGTATTGGCATAAGAACAGACCTCAGGACCAATGGAATAGAATTGAAAACCCAGAAATGAACCTACAGACCTATAGCCATCTAATCTTCGATAAGGGAGCTAAAACAATAGAATGGAAGAAAGACAGCCTCTTCAGTAAATGGTGCTGGCAAAATTGGTTAACTACATGTAGAAAACTAAAGCTAGATCCTTATATATCACCCTGCACCAGAAGCAACTCCAAATGAATCAAAGACCTCGGAGTCAAAGCAGACACTCTGAAAACATTACAGGATGGAATAGGAGAAACCCTAGGTCTCCTTGGCTCAGGCCGAAATTTTCTGAATAGAGACCCGGAAACACAACAAATCAAAGAAAGGTTGGACAAATGGGATTGCATAAAGTTGCAGAGCTTCTGCAGGGCAAATGATATAGCTAGCAAGATCAATAGAAAGCCCACGGATTGGGAGAAGATCTTTACTAGCCATAGAACAGACAAGGGTCTCATATCTAAAATATACTTGGAACTCAAAAAATTAAACCCCCCAACAACAAATCCTCAAATTAACAACTGCCAAATAAATAAGTGGGCGAAACACTTAAAGAGAAACTTCTCTGAAGAAGAAAGAAGGAAGGCCAATAGACACATGAAGAAATGTTCAACATCCCTAGCCATAGATGAAATGCAAATCAAAACAACATTGAGATATCACCTCATCCCAGTTAGAATGGCAAAAATCAAGAACTCTAACAACAACAGATGCTGGAGGGGATGTGGACAGAAAGGAACCTTACTTCATTGTTGGTGGGAAGGTAAACTTGTTCAACCACTTTGGAAAGCAGTATGGAGGTTCCTCAAAAGACTTCACATAGAACTCCCCTATGACCCAGCAATCCCACTTTTGGGCATTTACCCAAATGTTTACAAACAAGACCATACTAAACCTACCAGCACAACTATGTTTATTGCAGCATTATTTACCATAGCTAAGATATGGAACCAACCCAGATGCCCCTCAGTAGATGAATGGATCAAGAAAATGTGGTATATATACACAATGGAATTCTATGCCTCCATCAGAAAGAATGACATTGCCCCATTTGTTAGGAAATGGAAAAACTTGGAAAAAATTATATTAAGTGAAGTAAGCCAGGCCCAAAGAAACATAGGTCCCATGGTTTCCCTTAATTGCAATATCTAGTATACGTATGAGTCAAGCAGAAAAGGTCAGATAATGTGATGTCAGGAAAATGAACCCTTAGATATGTATTTTAATGTTTTTTCTTTCATGCATGTGTTTCTAACGCATTTATAAGATTATCTCTTTGTTGCTTTGTATGTCACTCCCCCACAGTATAACCCTGCTTTCTCTATATTTGATGTCAGTATAAGTTGTGGAGGAGATGGGGAAACACCAGTTGTTTAAGGATACAGGCGGACCTGTTGCAACAATGAGAAGTACAAGTTGTCATGTCCAAAATGAGCTTTACAATGTCGGTGGGGGGGGGAAGGAGGGGGGAAGGAGAAGGATTGGGATTGGGGGGGAGGGAGGAGGCTGGGAAGGGATGTGAAGGGTAAACAAAGGAGGAGGCTGCAATGCTTGGTAAGAAATGTACGCATTATCCTGCCCATGTAATTGTAACCCCTCTGTACAGTATGTTCACAAATAAAATAAAATTAAATTAAAAAAAGATGAATATATATATATATAATCATAAATTTGGGTTCTTTAAAAAAAAGTCTCCACATAGAGCTCCCCTATGACCCAGCAATCCCACTTTCGGGCATTTACCTGAGTGATCACAAACAAGACGATATTAAACCTACCAGCACAAGTATGTTTATTGCATCATTATTATTATAACCAAGACATGGAACCAATCCAGATGCCCCTCAGTAGATGAAATGATCAAGAAAATGTGGTATATGTACACAATGGAATTCTATGCCTCCATCAGAAAGAATCACATTGCCCCATTTGTTAGGAAATGGAAAGACCTAGAAAAAATTATGTTAAGTGAAGTAAGCCGGGCCCAAAGAAACATAGGTCCCATGGTTTCCCTTATTTGCAATAACTACTATATGTCTGAGACAAGCAGAAAATGTCAGATGTTAGGTGAAATGAACCCCAAGATGAGTATTCAAATGTTTTTTCTTTCTTTCGATTGTTTCTAACATATTTATTAGATGATTTCTTTGCTGCTTTGTATGCCCCTCCCCCACGGTATAACCCCTGCTTTCACTGTATTTGGTGTTGGTATAATTTGCATAGGGGAAGGGCAAAAACAAATCGTTTAAATAGGGATACAGATGAACCCATTGTAACAATGAGATATACAAGTCGTTATGTGGAAAAACGAACTTTACAACTTTGGCCGGGGGTGGGGGTGTGGGGGGGGGGTAAGGGGGGGTTGGTGTTGTGTTGGATGGGGGGGGTGGGTGTTGGGAAGGTATGGGAAGGGAAAACAAAGGAGGAGGGAACAATGCTTGTACGTAGTGTATTCATTATCTTGCCGAATTGTAACTCCTCTATACGGTATTTTCACAATTAAAAAAAAGAAAATATATATGGTAAAGAGGGAAACAAGAGAAATGAAAAGAATATACATATGGATGGGTTTGTGTGTTGAAATAAGATTTGATGAATGGGAGATAAGGAGAAAGTAAATGCATGCAAAGGAAAAGTTCATGAGTAAATAGGTAGAAGAACATAGGTAAGAAGAGAACAAGGAAATTGTAGGTATATGGACAATTTTTATTTGTGTTATAATAAAACTTTATTCATAAGAAGCAGGCTGGATTTGGCCCTTGAGTCATGGTTTACCCATCTTCTGAGAGAGAGAGAAAGAGAGAGAGAGAAAGAGAGAGGGAGACAGAGATGGGGGGTAATTGGGAATCAAATGCCATGTTTTATCTGATTTTTTTGCTGAAAATTGTTTATGTACAGTTTACCAAACACTGGCGATTTGTTTTTTGTTTTAAATTTTTTTTGTGATAATACCATAGAGAGGGGTTACAATTAAATGGGCAAGGTAATTAGTACATTTCTTATCAAGCATTGTTGTCTCCTCCTTTGTTTCCCCTTCCCTTCTCTTCCCACCTCCCATGCCCCCAACCCACACAAATCCCTCACCGCTCCCCTCCTGCCAAAGTTGTAAAGTTCGTTTTTCGATATAACTACTTGTACATCTCATCGTTGCAATGGGTCCATCTGTATCCCTGTTTAAAAGGTTTGTTTTTACCCTTCCCCTCCAAAAATTATACCAACATCAAATACAATGAACACGAGTTATATCGTGGGCTTAGGTGGTGGTGAGGAATTGAATCAGGGCCTCATGCATGCAAGGCAAGCACTTTACCACTGAGCCACCTTCCCAGCCCCACAATCTTTGATTTTTGAACTTCCCTTTCTTGTCAGTTCCTTATCCAGTGCTAGTGTGAGAACCCAGTTTTCCATTTCTTGTTGACCCCAATCCCTAGTCTTGAAACTATACATATATCTGGCCTCCGGCTGTTTTGGCAGAATGTGTTCTGCCTTCTCCTGACCACACTTACCCCAGGCCTATTGATCTCTAATGTCCAGCAGTGGTAGAGCAGTTTTGCTCCTAATGGCCCAAATGGCTCCAGGATCTTTGAAGTTTAGCAGTTACAGAAAAATATGATTGCTTGCTTAGAAAACCACCACCTGCGATTCCCACACTTTTCAGATTCCCTGTAAGATAAATGGCCTAAGACATTGTGGTTCCTTTGGGCAGCAGCCACATCCCTAAGTTCTCACTACAAAATGAGCTTTTCCTCTGCTTCTGTATGTGAGGATTCCCTGCTTGAATTCTATGGAACATTTTGAGTGGAACATTTTGAAGAATT